GACACCCGCTGTATTCTATAGCCTTAGGCTATCAGCAATCATTGAGAATGGGATCACAAATATTTTAGCTGAATCTGCTTTGTAAACCGTGAACAGCAGCAAATTTATTACAAAACCGCGTGGGACGCCGATAAGCGTAGTTGGTCCAAACAAAAGACTGTACCCCAACTGTAAACGTAATGGTCACCCGTTCCGAAATGCAGAAGTCCACTTTGAAGCTCAATCAGATGTACCTGACGACCACAGCTTTAGTGAAAGCTGTGACTGCGGGATCAGTCGATCCCTACGAAAGGCTGTGTTGCAGGTACGTCAAGTATCCCCATAAATATACGCCACAAACGCCAGTGCGTGGGCTGTGCTATGCAGGGTTGAATTCCTGCCCACAATGTGGCAGGATCCAGCCAATCCGAGTCGGCCGGCGGCCGAGTGGTCGGCGCACGTGGTTTGCAACCAGTTAGAATCTGCGATTAGAATCCGCGTAGTGGCGAGCGTCCTCGCAGTATACTCAGCTCGCGCGCAATTGGTATGGGTCGCGCGGCAGCGAAACGCCGTTAAGGCTTACAGCTGACTCCGAGTCGGAGCGCGACTGGGCTAAAGTGAACAATGTTCCTTCATAAACCACCAGCCCAACGTGGTGATTCATGCACCCACAAAATGACGGGTTGTTCCAACTGTGATTCGGCTTTTGAGTCGGAAATGAACTCCCAGGAGTCCGCTTCGTCTTCTCCTGTTTTCTCTCGCGTGTGGGTGGAAATCACGTGGTCACGTGTGCGCAGCTCTTGTCGTGTGTTTCGTGTGCGTCCAAGTCTCGCGCGTCTAAGTTCCTCGATCGTGTGCGTGTCGTTGTCCGTTTTCGAGGTCTCAGCGTGTCACCCGAATGTACGCGTGAATAGGGTCCGTGCTCAGATTGCGCGTAACTCGCGTCTAAGCTAATGCGAGCAGGCCTGCGCAAATCCCTTATGGGTTGATAAGCAGTACATGTATTCGTCATCACCAGATACGTTGGTTAAACTTGGGCAACACCTCAGCTATTGTGTCGCCGTTCATAAGGCTGGACCTTAATGTGCTTCGACGGTTTGTGTGCCGCATCGATCCATCAGGCTGTGCTGGACGGCCTTTTTCGCACCTTCGCACCTATTCATACTAGAGGTCGATGGTTTGAGGCCAGACAAACTCATACTGCTGGTCCTCCAGATTAAAGTTTAGAATGAGTGCAGCTCCTTATTCCTTAAAACGGACTCCTTGTAGCCCATCGCAGCGCGCACGCCAGCTGAGCCACCAGTAACGGATGAATAGCGCTACGGAGAACTAACAGCCGGCTACTTTCCCCCAAGCGAGGTCATATTATGTGTCCGAAAGGAGATAGGGGTTGAAGGGGAGGCCACGCAGGAAGAGAGGGAAGAGAAACCCACAACACCATCGTCATTAAGGTCGGCTCCTAGCCATTTCAAAAGTGTATTCAGCCAAACGTGTTCGTCTTTCGAGCACCAACCAAGGAGCCGAGTGGCTCCAGCCGCCTCCAGCATCGAACAAATGGCCTTCATTTCTCTTGATCAAGTCATCGTTTGACCTCCCTTCTTCCAGCTGGACCTCAGTCGCGCAAACAACGCACTACTCCGGAGTCGGTGTTCTGCCGTGCGTAACAGTTGGCTAAGCAATTGGGGCACGGTTCCTGAAATAACGGTGATGAGCGGTTCACTTCCCCTTCCTGTGCCATAAACAAAGAGCAGAACAAGCTCCTTTCACATGCGGTTCTCATCAGAGATGTGCCAAGATATGGAGACACCTGTGCTCGAACATAGCTTACCTCTTTATGTCTACCGCACTAATGGGCCAGGTTTCACAACCGTACAGAATGGACGACCGTACGATTTCATTGTAAACTCTGCCCTTTTGGAACAGAGCGGTGTCACGCCGGCGCCATGGGTGGGGAAGGTTAGCAAAAGCAGCTCGATATTTTACCATACAGTTCGTGATATCATCTTCGATTTCATCTGCACTGATACAATGTACTAGGTAGCTGAATTTCTGAACAACTTTTAGCTGATCCCCCCCAAGGGTCAGCGCAGGAGATGGTCTATGCCAAACTTGGAGGAACACTCAGCACTTCGAGGGTGCGAAGCAAAGCCAGAACTGGTGGACAGCCAGTGCTAATCTGTCTATTGCTGCTTGGCACGTTTGTGTGCTGTCACAGATGAGAGCAATATTGTCTCCACACCAACCCAGCGTCCGCGAGCTACTAGCAAACTACTCAGACACAAAGTAACCTTGCTGTACTTGTGTTTGGGATTATTGAGTAGAGTACATTATTAGTGCCCTCGGCCGAAACTCTCATCAATTATCCGGACAAATGGACTAATACGCTTGTTTATAGTTGGCAGGTAAAATTATTCCCACTTGCTTGAAAACGGTTAATAACAGCTTGTTTGCGCTATGAGGACAAGACACACATCAACTAATGTCGCGCATATGTGAATGGCCCCACTTAGTTCAGCAAGCATTTCCTGTGGCGACTCGGCATACATTAAGTCTGTGCTAGAAGCTTTAGGGGGAATGTTGACCTAAGTTATGGGTTTCATCCATGCTAATTTCAGATAGCTAAAAATTTTCCACCACCAATGAAATCATTACAGATTGTGGCAAAGTGATTGCGCCAGCAAAGAGATGGATCTAATGCTCGCTGTGTCTACAGGCGCTATCATATTCTCTATGCTCATAGACGTTATTGCCCTGCAGTAAAGTTTGCTTTGACTAATTTGCACCACTGCGTGTCTTAAACTATGCGGAGACGTTTTTCGATTAGCGGTGGTTGATTTTTCTGAGTCCATCTCATAATGAAGATAAGCATTTCATAGATGTTTCATAACCTGACTTCTGACACCAAAAATGCCATTATAAATGCTGGATAATGTTGTTGCTTGGTAAGTCCGCCTCCATCCAGATGATTTCTAGATAAATGGAAAATTTTCCCCACGGGTGGGATACGCTACCTTTTGGAGAACGAGTAACTTGTGGAGTCTCCCAAAGGGGTTGTCCGCGCCTCACTTCTCTTCCTGCGTAGAGTGTATGAATCAGAAAGGGCCAATCATCGAGGCAATGCCATAAGAAGGCAACTCAGCTGGGTTAGCAAATTGGTGCTTTTATTCCTACCAGTACAAAGACCGTGGGATAAGTCACACTAAAAATAGGTACAGCAGGAAAGGTATCATCAGAACACCGGTGGTACTTATCGGCAATTCTCTACCTGGCGACCAACAATATTCGCTTGAAGAGCTGTTCTGTATCTCACCTAAACCACTCGGCTACCAGCCGAACGGATAGCGGACCTGTTCTTAACTCAAACGGACGATGAGTAGCCATAAATATTAAGCGGGAGAAGAGAACTCTAGGATGAGCTGGTTTGATCCAAGTTTGAACCACAAGATTTATCAACAAACATGCAGCACGAAGACAAATACAGATCTCAGCACTCCACGGTAACCGACACTTGACTATCATGGGAACTTGGGTTGGGATCGGCAAAACAGACTGCGATCTTCAATTCCACTTCATCGCAGGCAACACAGTATCTCATCCCCGTTAAATAGGTGCCTCAATCAAAAGCCTGTATGACCAGTATCATTGTCATCATGAAATCAACCAACTTACCGCCCAGAATTGACCAGGTTGAAAAGTTCTTGTTCATTGGCCACAAAACGAGCCGACTTTGTAGTACACGTTGTAGCTAAACGTTTGAGGCACCAAGATTGCCTACTGAGCGCATGAGCTTTAAATTACCCAGAGATATCGATAGTACAACATAGCTACACATACACACATAGTGGGATTGAGGCTCATGTTCTGAACCAACTGATATGGAATGTGGTATGCTACAAGGATCCCTGCTGAAGCCACACATATTTCTCGTCCTCATTAACGATCTACCGCATTTCCTGCTTTTCGCCGATAACAACAAGATATGATGGGCGATCGGCAATCAGGAAAACGACGGCCTGCTGCAGCGAACAAAGTTAAAGACGAGTCAACTTTTTAACAGAGATGACTACAATGTAGTACAGATGAGCCATCAGCCAAAGAGCGTGTATACTTGGAGACAATATATCAAGGACCGACTCACAGGAGCGAAACTTTGGGATAGTGATTCATAATTGCTTCGCTTGGTGGAAGCAACGCTTGAAAATGTCAAAAACCGGATACTAAGTACAATGGTCCGTTGCGGATGGCGTTTTGCCGGTTTGACTCACCAGCCTTCTAGCGAGTGATTAACGCGTATGTGAGGCCCCATGTAGAGCACACAAATCAAACCTGGCAACCCTGAGTAGAAGGAAATCTATCTGCAATTTGGACCACACGATGGGTAGCGGACGATAAACTGTCTTGTTTCATTCCCCATACCAGCTGTATTTGAAGTCCCCAGGATTGTACAATGGAACTTATGGTTGTTTATTGAGCGACCCTATCCTAGTCAATCAAAAATCGTGGTTGCCCTCGCGAAATCCTACTGAAACAGCCACAATACAAGATTACTTGACAACCAGCTGAAGATAGCTGCGCCATACAGCCAGCTGGTATGTCACCAAACCATTCCCTTTCGAATTTTCAACCGTGGAACGCTCTTTCGACTTCTGCGGTCTCTGCTTTCACGTTATCTGCTTTCATAAATATGGCTGGACGATACTATATGCCAGTTACTTTCCATGACATTGCTGAACTTCTTCAGGTGACGACACAACACAGTCCCACTGTACCCACCAGCACCCACTGAAATCAGGGTGGGTGTATTTACTCTTGTCCTAATGTCAAAAAACTATGAATCAACATATGCATGGTTTGTCTCGTTGGTGAACTTTTTTCATTGTATTTAGGTAGTTCACCGAGACCATCCTACTGAACTTGTCAAATTTTAAGATCGTTACCCGTATTATCTAGTTGCTTCACTGTTGAATCACATACTCCAGCTTTTGCAGACATACGTACCATCATAGTCTATTATTTTTTAGATATACAATACTTCGCACTGTTTATCTCAGTTATGGATCAGTCGCCTGATCGCGATATATATGAGGGATTTGAGGAGTTCAACAGTAAAGGAGATGTCGATAATTTTTTAAACGATCCTGACTTCCTGCGTGCGGTGAAAATTTCCTCCTGTGGCAGAAAACAGCCAGTAAGTGAACACAGGTATAACTTTTTCAGATCTAAAAATGGCTGTTGTGATTCGCACTTTAACGCAACGTTGACCACTGCAATTTTCTGTAGTGTTCACTTCCCGTGTTTATTCTACGTTAATGTCGCTCCTGTTGTTACCCTGCTTGCTAATTTCCATGCCGAAAAAATTGCATGGACATCCGTGGACTTCTGCCCAACCAGTTTTCAGTTCATACTTTGGATAATCATACTTTAACTATTTGTTGTGCGTATTTTGCTACCTTCGATTGCCCGTAGATTGGACAGTATAGGGATAACTTCAGTCCTAGTTTTCTGGTATAAAGCAAGCTAATCGAGTCAAAATTTATCGGGTATTAAAGTAGGTACTTTATTTTCCCGACCAACATGGCCTAATGACACTAGTTAGGATCATGCGCAGTAGTTAACTTATTTTCTCGTATTTCATACACTGTATCTCAACTGTGAATCGCAGTTTTCGAGCAAGAATGTTGTGGTGGGATGGTGCAAGCAGAACCATACAGATTTACATGACGAAACAAGGGGTTAGCTAGCCGCAGGCGAACGGAGCACTTGATCTAACGCCCACGTATATTTCATCTATGCGCTGATTGCTTCATATTTGGCTACACTGGAGCAGGTTTGTTCAACTGATCCAAAGGAAGAATTTCATGAATGTACAAGCGTTGTTAGTTATGGAAATTGTTTAGTTACTTACATTGATGTTTTTACATGCTGATTATGCTAACATTTTTGTTGAGTTTGCTGTTTGTCCCTAAAGACCGAGTTCTGCGACAACTGCCATCGCCACTTGTAAACAGATTTAATGTTTATTTTTTGCTCTGTGCCTATTTAGTGCATGCAGCGTACCTTAATCCAAAGTTTTTCTTGGAGAAATTGAACCAGCTATAAACTGCATCCGATAATTGTATGTGCGCGATACCTGTGTTCACGAAAATTCTGACTGATTGCGCTGTGGAGTCACACGCCGATGTCACCCTGTCATACATCTTGTACTCTCGGCTGTCGGCATGAAAATTCACTTACTTCACCTCCTCCCATCACCGGGTGTTTTCAGCACTTTTTCTGAACCAGTTGTGTATGCACATTGTAAAATGCATTATCCACCACATGCTGTGCTGATTCACACCGAATGCAACACATTTTTTGCGCAATGACATCTTTGCTGAGATGGTGGCACATTTTCTCGATCATTTCGGACCATTTTTAATTCGGGTGCCCGAGCTTTTCCCAACAAGCTGTCTCGTTCCTTGATTCACAGCCGGTCTAACTCTTAAACTAGTTGACGTATTGTTCATGGATCTTTCTCCCCCTGACATAATAACCCTTCGGTTTTACACTCAACCACCATATTTTCCTAGTTGTGAAATTAAACGAGTTATATGCTGAGCGCATTCAGTACGCAACTCCTCCAGGCATGTCAATTTTATGGAAGGTGTTTTTCATTTTAACCACTTCTTTCACTCAATTACTCCATCGTTAATGTCGTTAAACCCACATATTATAACTAACGGTAGCAGAACGTTGCTTAAGTCTAAACACAATCAGTTAAGTGAGTTATCCTTTAACTTTTGCTCTGGAGCCACTATGTTGTGACGGATTACCGAAACAAGGGATGGACTACGATTCTAAATCGTTTCGAAATGAATGTTGGAGGGAATTAATACCGGTAGTTTAGTTGCATTAAATTTGCCTATGAGTCCTGCGAAGAATGCTCGCGAAGCGGGAGAACATACCGATGGGTAATACACATCAACCCGGAACCGTCATCAGCCTAGATGGTGTGCGAAGAGCAATGCTGTTTTGTTTTTGTCGCATTCTCTTGTACTTTTACGCAAAAGCACTACTCCAATTTCGCTAATACCACCAGTGGCAACTCTTCAGTCTGCAGCTGATAAGAGAAGGACGATCAATAGTTTTTGCATCAAACCCATAAGACCCTTACTCTCCTTGTCATTCATTGCAGATCCTTGGCCGAAATCTACCAACAGCTGCAACAAAGGCGGCTGTGGTTGCCTCTTCTGGAAGACTTCCAACGGGGATTCGCTTGTTTACAGCAGCAGGCCCAAATGCCGGTGATGCAGCACGACCGATGACTTCTGTTCGGGCTGCCGGCTATTCCTCCATGGGTTATCGGGGGTCTACTGCTGCGGAGTGCGGTGCGATATGGGCAGATGGCCGGATGACTTCAGAGGCACGTGCAGTACAATCTCTTGAGGTGGGATCCAGTGACAATCCTGAGGAAAGAATAAAACTTATGGAGAAGAGCGTGAGTGTATACCATAAGGTGCTTTATTTATCCTATTTGCTCCTCACGCCACCCAGATGTCCCAGAGGCTGTTACGCATAGATCATTCGACTAGACGAAACGCATTCAGTTTCACACAAATTGTAGCTACTGAAAGAATTATAAGTAGGTACGACACGTCAACTAATTAGGTCCACAAAATTTGTTCCAATGGCTGAGCTCGCGTGCGCATGGCTAATACCGCAAGAGAGCTACCAACAAGGATAGTTGAACACAAGAAATGGATGGCACTGACGCCGAGGAACGAGCTTGAATACAGGGCTCTACTAAGGGATTCGGCAGCAGTGATAGATGTAGGTCATGAGGTCAACTTGGACAACCTCGAAACCCAAGGAAGGAGGGGGTTAGGATCGAGCCCCAAAGTCTGATTACTGAGGCGGCTGAGATTATCAAGGTGAACAGCTGCGTGAACAGAATGCATGTGTGGCGGACTGTCTTAACCTGACCAGGCTGAGGAGCGTCGGCGGATGGATCTGGACAGCGAATCAACCTCACCTAATCCCCACACCCAATCACTGGCAGCAGTGGCGTAGCAACTAGTTTTGCTGCCCTGGGCGGTGGTAAAATTTTCGCCCTGAATGAGGGCAGAATAGCGTGGGAAGTGCACATAATCGGCTCAGGGTAAAGTGTCCATTAGTCTCCGATGAAATGGACTTTCGTTTAGGACACAGGTAAATATGGTGAAAGTGACCACAGTGGGACAAATAAGGGGATCGCTGAGAAGAATGTTTGCACAGGTGTTACACGTGCAAATGTGTTGTTAGTCACACGGAGTAGCAACAAAATATTCAAACCATAGCTTATCCAAATATTTTGCCCATTGTATTTGCTATCCAGCAACCAACGTTACAAAGACTGCCGTCCTCTGTCACATACTGCCCGAGGCGGACCGCCCCCACCTGTCCCCCATGTTACGACCCTGACTGACAGGGACTTATGTGTGTGAGCTTACAATGCTGACCACTTGGGACCATAACATTCATTACTTAAC